TCATGATAAACCTGAGGCACAAGGAAGTTAATTAAATTGCTGAAGGTGACAGAGGAGTCTGTGACAGTATTATCATTCAAACTCAGGTCTGCCACACCTCCAAGGTCAGGCTTTTTCCATATACATGGGTAGCAAAATAACAGTTGTCTGTCAATATGACCTTTATTATAAATCTGCCTGATAAATGATCTTAGTTCCTGGGACATCTTAAGAATATTACCTATGATTATAGTTAAACAAATGTAATTCATGTAACGCACACTATTTCGTGATCTGCTCTAAAAATACTCATGGGAGTGGAGGGGACGGGTGAAATAGGTGAAGAAGATTGAGAAGTATAGACTTCCAGTTATTAAATAAAGAAGTCACGGGGATGAAAAGTACAACATAGGGAATATTGTCAATAATATTGTAATAACTTTGTCTAGCAACAGATGGTAATGTGGCTTATAGTGAACGTGTGATAATGCATATAACTGTTGAATCACTGTGTTGTACACCTGAAACCAATATATTATTCTATGTCAACTATACTTCAATAAAAAAAAAACCTTGCCAATCTTATGAGTGAAAAATATACCTTGTTTTCATTTGCTTGAGTTTTTATAACCCTTATAATCCAACAATTGAAGGAGTCCTTTGGAAAGGTAAGTCAAATCATGTCATTCCTCTGCTCAAAACCTCTAGTGGGTTCTCATCTCAGACTAAACATGAAAATCAAAGTCCTTTTAATTGCTTTCCAGGTACTGTGGGAATGGGAATGTAACCTTTATGTCCCTATTACCTGTAGGATGGCAACTCCTATTACTCTCTTCCCCTCACCTACTTCAGACACAGTGACTTCTCTGCTGTTATTCAAACACACCAGCACACTCCTGCCTCCAGGCCTTTGTTCTTGCTGTTTTCTCTGCCTGAATTGCCTTCTCCAATGATATCTGCATGGCCAGCTCCCTTACCTCCTATACATCTTTGCTGAAAAGTGACCTTCTCAGTGAGAGCTTCAATAATCAGTGTTGTCTGAGGCATTCTTTATCATTATACATTGATTTATGTGAGAGTACTTATTACCTTAAAATATACTATGTAATTTCCTTATACAGTTTGCTTGTCTCCCTCCAAACCACACTAAAATATACGCTCTACAAGAACAAAGATTTTTGTCTGTTTGGCCGGTGATGTGTCATTTGTGCTGAGATCAGTGTTTGGCAGATGGTATGTGCTCAGTAAATATTTGTTGACTGAGTGAATGTTTTAATAAGTGATATGTTACTTATATTTTTCCTTTTATGAATTGTCATGTCCTTTGCTTATTTTCCTGTGTTCCAAGTTTTTATTGATTTGTGTGAACTCTTTATATTTTAAGGATGTAAATTTCAAGGCATATATTTGCCCCAGTTTTTCCATGTGTGTGTGTGTGTGTGTGTGTGTGTGTGTGTGTTAAAGATATTTAAAATTTCACGTGGTCAAATATAGAAATATTTTCCTTTGTCATCTTGTGTTTTATTAGGACAAGTTGACAAAATAAAAAATTTACTTCTAAATATAGTCAAAGGGGGAGCTGTGCTCCCAATTTTTTTCTACATTTATTATGTTTGAGTTTCACTACTTATGGATATATAGAGCTTAAAGAATCTGAATAATGATTTAAACTTTTTTATTTATAATCACACTTATAGGGTTATTTTTCTCCTGGGTGGTTTAACTGGTGAACAAGAAGGGTTAAACTGTTACTAAAACTGCTCCTTTTACATTCATTCAAGGAAAGAGATCTGGTGTATAGGATGATTAAAATTATAAAACATGTTTATAATATTTATGCATATTAATTAGTTTTAAATATATTCCCCATTTAATACAGAAATAAAAGGTTATTAGGCTATAAATCTATCAAAAAAAGAAGTAAATTATCTTAACCTTATATTAGATTATGGCCTGGCACACATAGGGATCAGTTTAGACTGGGCAAAACAATATAGAGTTAGAATTTCTAGTTTCTAATTATTCTAATTAAAAATATTTGTTTACTGTTTATACAAAATCCAACATGTATGTTCCTGGGTGGGTAGCTCTCTTGGATCACTCTTCTATTAGTGACACATAGATCCATACTCCTTCCATCTTGGGATGCAATGTTCTCCCATTTATGCTGGCCGGTCAAGAATGTGGCTTGGATGGGCTCATCTTTGACCCAAGTGGCATTATTTGGAGCAGCACTGGCTGGAGAATCCACTTCCAAGTGGGCAGCTGTGTGACTGGGAAGAAGGCTTTAATGTTTCAGGATCTTTAAAAAGGCCTGCCTCGTACGTAGAGCAGTGAATTCCTTGGGAATAATACACAATTTTGCAAGCTGGATGTGTGAGTAAGTAAGTAAATAAAGAAGGCAGAGTAAACTTGCAAGCCTTCTTTCTGCCTGTGGATAGGATGACTCAAGAGCCAGTTTTCTCCTTGTCGTCGCTGGGCCAGTTCTCCTTTCCAGTAGGACACAAATGAGCACGCTGACCACCCACCCAGCAGACAACCCAGAGAGGTCTTGGAAGATATTCAGATCAGCAGAAAGCAGATCAGAATGGTCTCAGCCCTGCCACCTACAGCTCCCTTTCCTCTCTTTCAGCCTCAGCTGCCCTGGGTGTAAAATGAGCATAAAACAGTACTACCTACCTTCCTTATAGAGTTGTTTTGAGGATTAAAGGAGAAAATGCAACAAAGTTTAGCTATGATGGGTGAAATACTGCTCTTTTCTAACCTTGCTCCTCCTTCCTAAACCCTGCTTATCACATAGCAAGTGCTGAAGCTTCAAAACAACCTCCTTTCAGTCAGGGTCTCTGCAAAGAAATTAGTATAATTTAAATCAATTCAGTAATACCAAGGTGTAAATAACTGGTACTCACAGGTGGCTCAGAGGAAAAGTTTGTATTTTTAAAAGAGGATTCGGTGACTGGAAAGATTTCAGAAAATATGAAGCCTTTTATTCTTGTACAAGGGTGAACAGAATTCCCTGAACCCTTCAGATCACAGAAACCATGCCTTGTAGATTTAAAGCGGATTGTGGGAGGGGACATTTAAAAAGCATGTTTGATTACTAAATACTTGAACTATAGAACTAGTTCACCCCCACTTTGCACCAAAGTGACCTCTAAGCTCACGACGACCTTGGCCGTTCTGATCCGGGAATAAACACTAGATGGAGAGAAGGCCGAGAGGGGAAGACCAAAGCTCAACTGAACTACTAGAAAGGATGTTTTCATTTGAATAAATTCAACCCAATTGGTACTTCCTCTTGCAACTCCGCTAACTTTTAACCCTCCTGGAGGGGCGAGCTGCAGGGGTTCAGGGTGGGGTGTAGAGGCTGCAGGACGCCCGCGGGCCTGGGGACCAGCTGGGCCCCAGGAGGGGGCGAACGGCGCGGGGATAGCGGAGAAAGTTCCCTGCTCTGACCCTGTCCTCCCCAAAACCCGAGCTAGGGGAGCTGGGGCGGGTGGCCGGATCACCGAGGAATCCGCAGTTTCCGGGAGGTCGGGGAAGCTACCCGCATACAATCCCCGGAGAAGCAGTCGTCCACCCGGTCTTTCCGGGTTCCGCCAGCCTAGCTGGGGAGGAGCAGCCAGCCGGATTTGCAAGCTGGATGTGTGAGTAAGTAAGTAAATAAAGAAGGCAGAGTAAACTTGCAAGCCTTCTTTCTGCCTGTGGATAGGATGACTCAAGAGCCAGTTTTCTCCTTGTCGTCGCTGGGCCAGTTCTCCTTTCCAGTAGGACACAAATGAGCACGCTGACCACCCACCCAGCAGACAACCCAGAGAGGTCTTGGAAGATATTCAGATCAGCAGAAAGCAGATCAGAATGGTCTCAGCCCTGCCACCTACAGCTCCCTTTCCTCTCTTTCAGCCTCAGCTGCCCTGGGTGTAAAATGAGCATAAAACAGTACTACCTACCTTCCTTATAGAGTTGTTTTGAGGATTAAAGGAGAAAATGCAACAAAGTTTAGCTATGATGGGTGAAATACTGCTCTTTTCTAACCTTGCTCCTCCTTCCTAAACCCTGCTTATCACATAGCAAGTGCTGAAGCTTCAAAACAACCTCCTTTCAGTCAGGGTCTCTGCAAAGAAATTAGTATAATTTAAATCAATTCAGTAATACCAAGGTGTAAATAACTGGTACTCACAGGTGGCTCAGAGGAAAAGTTTGTATTTTTAAAAGAGGATTCGGTGACTGGAAAGATTTCAGAAAATATGAAGCCTTTTATTCTTGTACAAGGGTGAACAGAATTCCCTGAACCCTTCAGATCACAGAAACCATGCCTTGTAGATTTAAAGCGGATTGTGGGAGGGGACATTTAAAAAGCATGTTTGATTACTAAATACTTGAACTATAGAACTAGTTCACCCCCACTTTGCACCAAAGTGACCTCTAAGCTCACGACGACCTTGGCCGTTCTGATCCGGGAATAAACACTAGATGGAGAGAAGGCCGAGAGGGGAAGACCAAAGCTCAACTGAACTACTAGAAAGGATGTTTTCATTTGAATAAATTCAACCCAATTGGTACTTCCTCTTGCAACTCCGCTAACTTTTAACCCTCCTGGAGGGGCGAGCTGCAGGGGTTCAGGGTGGGGTGTAGAGGCTGCAGGACGCCCGCGGGCCTGGGGACCAGCTGGGCCCCGGGAGGGGGCGAACGGCGCGGGGATAGCGGAGAAAGTTCCCTGCTCTGACCCTGTCCTCCCCAAAACCCGAGCTAGGGGAGCTGGGGCGGGTGGCCGGATCACCGAGGAATCCGCAGTTTCCGGGAGGTCGGGGAAGCTACCCGCATACAATCCCCGGAGAAGCAGTCGTCCACCCGGTCTTTCCGGGTTCCGCCAGCCTAGCTGGGGAGGAGCAGCCAGCCGGGAGGGGGCTGACGGCACCGCCCCACCTGCGCGGGGAGTGTCCCGAGCTTCACGGGGAGGGGCGCGAGGCGGGGGCGGGGCCTCGGGGGGCGGGGTCGCACGGCGCTTTAGGGCCCGGGCAGCGCAGGGAGGGGCCGGGACGGCTGGAGTGAGCGGCGGCCGCAGCTGCAGCAAGACGGCCCGCCGGCGGCTCTGGCCGCGCGCCGGGAACCTCGTGGGGCGGGCGGGCGCTGCACCCCCAGCCTGGCCGCCTGCGCCCGGGGACGCGGCCGCGCACGACGGGACCAGCAGCATGAGCAGCGGCTACAGCAGCCTGGAGGAGGACGCCGAGGACTTCTTCTTCACCGCCAGGACCTCCTTCTTCAGGAGGGCGCCCCAGGGCAAGCCCCGCGCCGGCCAGCAAGTAAGTGGCTCGGCGCTGCAGCCGCGACCCCATCGCTCTCGGGTGTCCCGGGACGCCCGACTCCACGTGTCTCGGTGGGGCGCGCCCGGGATGCTCACGGGGAAGGAGGAGAAGGCCCCCGCCAAGGGGATTCTGCCTTCTTTTGAAAAGATCTCGGAGTCTTGCCGCGCACGTGGGCGTGCCGGGGGGAGCCCTGCGCGAGGGGAAGCCGAGGAGGGCGGGGGCGCCGAGGGCCCGCTCCTGCCTTCCGCGCCAGATGGCCTCCCGCCACCCCGCCTCGCGCAGCCGGCTGCCGGGGACCGTTCTGAGGCCGTGAAGGCGTCCCTGCCCCTCCCGGCGCTTCCCCCTCCGGGGACGCCCTTCGCGCCCTGCGAGCCCGCGGTCGGGTCCTCGCGCGCCCTGCAAGTCCTACCAGCGGCCTGTGGCCCCAGGGTGGCGTGGAGCCGGGTAGCTGACAGGCGTGGCCGCTCTGACTGTACCCCCCCCCCCACCTTCCGCGTCCCGGCCCCTCTGGTCGGGGGCCGCGGAGATAGTAGGCGGTCACGAAACCTGGGTTGTAGGAGTCGAGGTTGTGCGTTTCCGGTAAAGTCAAGTCTATAGGTGTCTCGAATGTTTTGCAAACAGTTCCGGTGCTAGGTAAATACAAGCGGGCGAGAGTCGAGCCTTAGACGGGTTTCTTCCTTTTTTGGAGGAAGCATGCCGTGGGAAGCCTGACTCGGGGAGGGACGGAAGAGAGCTTGGGCCGCTTTCGCCGACCGCGGCAGTGGTTTTCTGGGAGGCTCTTCCGAAACGGGGCTCCCGGGGTGGACCTTTGAGCCTGGCGTTGGAACCCGCGGCCTCCTGGCTCGGGGAGCCGCACCAGGAAGCCCTTCCAAGCCAGCCGTGCGCACAGCAGATTAGAGAAGGCTGTAATGGAACAAAGTTGTTACTCTTAAAAAACAACAGGCGCGCACCAAGCAGTGCTTTGAGTATCAGTCCTGGAGGCTGAAAGCAAGGAAAATCGTTCAGGGCCGCCTGATGAGTTATGGGAGTGATGAGCACAGAGTAACGTGTCAGGGTTTCCTTGCCAGACCGTTTAAGTTCATTTGGCCACTTTTTGAGGTCAGATTTCTTTTTATGACTCAGAAGTTCTAGTCTTTTCAACTTCTTTACTCCCCAACCAGAAGAAAGGGGAGAGGGGACGGTAAAGGGCAAGAGGAAAGCCAAGTGCCCTTGCTCAGTAGTAGGTAATCCTGAGTGAAATACCGGGTCAGTCCACGCCCTCAGTTTATTGTTTTCCGAGGTTTCAGGCCGCACTCGTTACTAGTCATTTTGAGTGACGTCTTAGCTCGGGCTGCTGTAACAGATTACTAAGACTAGGTAACCTAAACACAAATACTACGTTTCACAATTCTGGAGGCTGGAGGTCGGAGATCTGGGTGACCGCATGGATGGCTTCTGGCGAGGACCGCTCCCCGGGCTTCCTGGTTTGTAGACAGGTGCCTTGCAGTATCCCTCACAGGGAGGAAACGCTAGCTCCTGTCCTCTTAGGGTCACTGCTCCCATGGTGGCGGCCACCCTCCTGGCCTAACGAGCTCGCAAAGACCCCGCCTCCAAATCCTTTCAAGTTAGGGCTTCATCCTGTGAGCTTGGGGGACCGGGATGGGGGGTGGTTCATAAACACTCAGTCCCTAGTGAGTGGTTTCTTATTTTCAGTAGTGTATTCTGAGAGCAGTTTGCTGTGAAGTTTGGAAGTCAGCATGCCCTCCGTCCCCTGCCCTTGATGGAAGAACTACATTTCCTTGTGCTTTCTTCACTTTTTCTTTCTTGGCCTCCCTCCTCTCCCTTCTCTGCTCTGTATTTTCTCCTTCCACTTATGTTGCTGTCACCCTTTTAGAGCTTGCTGCCAGAGGTGGTTGTGCTAGCTCCAAGTCTGTGCAAAGGTGGCCTTTCATCTCCAGAAAAGTTGCTGCTGCTTGGATTCTCCAGGTGTGATATTCCTCCTTCACAAGGGCCAGCTCTCCTGGTTGGACTTGTATGGGAAGGCTGTAGTGCTGTCAAAAGTAAACCCATCAGGTTTTGTGAGTTTATACACACGCAGTGTGTCTGTTATACTCATGAATTTATATAGTATTCATCTGGCAAATATATTATACCCATATAATGTTACTTATGTAGCCTTTAGAATTAGTCTAACAAAATATTTTGAAATAATGTGCTGAAAATCAGGATAGTAAGACTTAGTTCTTTCCTTGAAGACCTTGTTATGTATATTCGGAGGCTTTATTGCCTGTGTATTTCCCCTTCTAACATAACACAAGCAAGGTGCCGAGTGAAAACCTAATTTGTCAGGTGGAAAACATGTTTTAAACTGGACTTTAGCATTTCGGTTTACTTAAGAAGTGACTGAGTGAAAAAAAAAAGTGACCGTGTCCATTTCATTCCTGATAAGATTCAGGAGTTAAGGAAGTAAAACTTACAAAGCAAGGCACTGTGAGTGTAGAACATTCTTTTTACCTAAGGTTAGGTGTGTTTTTTTTTTTTTTTTTTATGATGCTGGTGATTGTAAGAATAAAGCAAAGTGTGGAAGTGAAATTTCTCTTTTCAGAAGTGGAAAGAGAGGTGTTGCCATGAGGATTACAGTGATTGTGTGTGTGTGTGTTAGTGTGTGTGACGAACCACCTGATGGAAAAGACAGGAAAACATGGTTTTAAGAGCTCTTGAAAATACCCAGAGAAAGCAAGAAGTCTGTGGTAAATGTAGGATGGGGAGACGGAGAGGTGGGTACTGAGAAATGTCTTGTCTTTTGCCAGGCAAAGGAACTTAGGCCAACTTCTTTCTGTCTCCAATGATAACAAAAATTCTATAGATGTAAAGAAAATGTTACCTATTCCTTTCTTTTATGTTAGCAGACTCTTAAAAAAATAAAAATGACTTAAAAACCTGTCTGAAGGATATTAAGAGGAATGAACACATGGCCTGCATGGGGCGGTTTGGATGCCGGTTATTGCTTTAGTCCCAGCGTCTCCATCAGTACCTGCCACCCAGTGGTCAATCAGTGACTATTTGTTGAATGAATGAATGCTCTCCTGGTGTGATAATAATTGGCTTTTTACGGGTTTTCAGATGGGTTTTCAGATGTACGGTATTTTAGGATTCTTCCAAAAACCCTCTGGAAGATTGCCCTAAAGAAAGGTAAGACCATGATAGATGATCTGTTGGCAGCTGCACACTTAGGATAGGGGAGAGGCTGGAGCTCAGGTTTTCTGACTCAGATCCCGCTTTCCTTTTCCGTACTTCTCAGTTACAAGAATAATTTTCAAGTTTGATTTTTCCCTTTGTACATATGGACATCTATAATTTAGGAGTTTCTTAAAATGTTGACCCCCTGTTCTGAATATATTTTCATTATGGTGTTTGTAATTAATACCTATGGCTTTCCTGGGTTGTTTTATACAGAACCAAGAACATGGGAAGTACTGTAATTTAAAATTTTTCTTTTCTACCCATTTAGACTTCCAGGAGTAGAAATGGGCTGAAATTATTAATATAATCTAATGGAGCATGTCTGACCCCATAGCTAAGTTAATCACTTTTCTGCCTGAGCCTTTGGCAGTTAATAGGAATAAAGAAGTGAGGGGAAAAAACCCAAAAATCCAAACCTTCTGCTTTTGAAATGTAATAGCCAAGCAGACCTGAAAAACTTGAAGTCATCTCTGAACCACACATACTTTTTAAAAAAGCTTTAGTGAAGAATTGTTTAATGAGGCAAGACGGTGAGCCTCCACATAACAGTCCTCAAGCTTACCCAAGGGTTCTCTTTATATTATAATTTAAATATTTCTGTGGCTGTTCTTTTGGTGTGTGTCTTACTGCTTAAATCAGCAGTAATGAATTGTACTGTTTTATTCAGTGTTTGCATTAGATCACTGGGGCAAAAGAATAATGGTTTATAACGTGAAAGGTATTTTGGCTATCTTAACTTTTAAAAATCCCTATGTTATTGAATATAAACATTCCTACCAGTCCTTTTGCCCCGTGCATGGTGATTTGTACATCTTGTCTCCATGTCTGATGAATTCTGTTTTTGTAGTATTAGTCCACTGGAATTTTGTGTTAGTGGGAGCAGGACTCACAAAGGCACATTCCTTTAACTGAATTTCAAAAGAAAATTATCCACCAATTTTATGTGCCCTCATGTATGAACAATACATTCTCTACCCCATCACTTCTTCTGGCTAACTTGCAAGGTTAGGAATTATTTGGAAAGCAGTGACACAAAACATTGATGAAGAAAAAAGCTAAAAATATCCAATAATGTGGTTATTCTTTTTGGACTTCCTTTGGCAGTCAGTGCATGTCATACTGTAAACATTCATTTTCTAGCAGGAAAAAAAAAGGGGCTGACCAAATGCTTCCTAGGGTGGCCTGATCACTGACTCTTAGCCTTGAGCATCGGTTGTTGCTTACCCCCAACTTTCTGTGTAAGCAGCTGTCTTTGGATAAAGGCCCCTGCCCAAGGCTTGCTTTACACTTCTGATTTGGCCCAGTGCCATTAGCTACCCCCAGGCCTCTTTTCCAAAGGGATGGTGGAGACAGAATAGGGGGTAAGATAGATGTATGCCATGGAGCTGCTCTTAATAAGGTATTTTTTGGCTAATTTATCCTGTTTGTATCCTTGTCTCATTGAAGGGCTAAAACGTATTGCCTAGTGGGATTTTTTTTTTTATTCTGACCAAGCATTACCTATGGTACAGGCCCATATTTACTGTTCACTCGCTTATGCAGTGACTTTTAAATAACAGCAGATACAAGTAGGACTCTAGTTGTATTAGCTTCTCTCAGTTCTCCTTCCTATGTCAGCTCCCATGACTCCTTCTCAGAGAAGTCTTCCTGATCCGCCAATTTGAAGGCTGTCCCTTCCCTCTTAACCCCCTCTACTCTTTCCCTTCCTAGCAAAAATTATAGTTCGTTCTTACATTTTTGTTTAATAAGGACAGAGATTAGCATATCTACCCAGT